CTGACCCCTGGGGATTTTAAGAGGTGTGTGTGTGGGGGGGGGTCTGAGCGCCTAACGCAGGAGAACTTTATGGCACCCTCACTCCACCTGCATCTGAAGACTCTTAACTCCCTTCCAAATCTTTTCTCAGGCTCCAAGGAAGGAACTTTCTCAGTAGCTGGCAGCCAGATTGCTATTCTGTACTATCCTGCTCCAAGCTCTCTTGAGTAGGGCCTGGAGAACTTTTGGAAGTTGTCTGCCAGATTCTGAGGCTCATCGCCCCCTCAGGTCTCCTCACGTGGGATCCTCCGTTGGCTTCTTGGGCAGGCGTGTAGTTCTGCTATGGGATCCTGCTGATCTTGCCTTCCTTCCACCCCAGCTGCGGGGCCGCCTGTCGGAAGGGGCTGCGGACCAAGGCAGGCTCCGTGTGCCTAACAGGTGTGTGCATCTGCGTTGGCATAGACCCGACTCCTGCGGCCCAGGGGCTTCTAAAAAGCAGAGCGAAAATGCACGGTACGGAGCGGAGAAGAAATGCGGAGATGGCACCGCTTTTCATTTAAACGAATATTCTTTACTCTGAAGAAGAGAGAAAAGTAGAAAACAAAAAATGAGAGTAACAATGTTAGCTGCCAAGGCAGAGGGAGAGTCCGAGCTAGAGAATCCGAGGGCACCTCCGCCCAAGGACTTCGACTTCTGTTCGGAATGGGAATAACTACGAAAGGATACAAAATTCGAACCTGTTACATTCTCGGTAGACAGAACGGGTCTCGGGGCCGTGACGTCAGCACAGGTCGGTGAAGGCCAAGTCAAAGCTGGTGCAGGGCCCCCGCCCCCTGAGGCAGCCTTGTGGCCTGGTGGCCAGACCGACTGGCCCGTGCATCCAGCGTCCTAGAGGATTTGCGGAGGCGCAGAGGCTGCTTTTATACTTTCCTTTAAAAGACAAACAAACTTACAAGTAAACTTCGTTAATGTCAAACAGCGACAAAAAAAAGAGTTCCTCCACCACCACCAAAAGGGGAGCAAGATGCGGAGACATAAGGAAAGGCAAGGGCACAGAGGGCCAAAGGACAGGGCTGGGGCGCGGGGAGAGGAGAGGCTGGGCGCATGGACCCTGGTTCCTCCTCTGGGTTCCTCTCTTAAAAACGCAAATCTTTACAAATCACACTTACCCTCCGTGCTGCCCACGGTGTCAGGATTTAGAGAACGCAGGAACTAAGCATTAAAGGTGGCAGGGGAGGGGGAGGGGAGCAAACCAGCTCTCAACTACCTCAGAGCCCGTCGGATTGGGGCGCACACCGACACCGTCAGAAGGAAGCCAGCAAAACCATCTTGGCAAGTCTGCGGTGAACGCCCTCCCTCCCCCACCCCGGCACCGGGGTTCCACTCCCACTCCGACAGCGGTAATTGAATTGTCACCTGCCCCTGTCCCGCCCCAGGCCTCCAGGGCCACTTGGGAAGCTCAGCCTTGCCAAGCGCCCCGGGCCAAGGCAAGAGTGGCGCAGCGGAGCGGGCGCCCCAGAAGTAGAGGGGTTACACACGTCTACGCGGAGAGGCGCACCGGACACGGTAATTAGGAGCAATTCACACGCTCTCGGGCGCACGGAAACTTCTTGTCACGACATTTGCAACGCTCCTCCTTGCGCACTCCTTCCCTGGCGCCCCCTCCCTTTCCGCAGGCACTCAGCGGAGCGTTCCGAGTTTCGAATCTTTCGGACACTGTAGAATGAGGGGCTCCCCGGGCGCGGGCCCGGCCAATCAGAGCGCCGACTGCCTCCCCTGGCCAATGGCAGACGCCACATTGTTGTCCAATTCTGTCTAATGGAGCCCTGAGGAGCAACAATAGAGCGGGCGAGCGGCTCATTGAGAGCTGGCAGCGCCGGGCTACCAGGCCCGGATTGAGCGCAGCGTCCGGAGCAC